CTTTTCAGCATCTTTAAGTAGTTGTTCTTGTACAAGTATTTTCACCACCGTTTGCCTTTGAATGGTTATTTTGTTTTGATAGGTCACTGGAGAAGTGCGAGAACTGGGAAATAATTGTGCACATTTTTTTTTCAGTTAATCCAGGAAATCAAGACAAAAGTTAAAAAAAAAGAAAACGAAGCAAAGAAAGAACATACCGAGTTCATTCGAGTCCCATGAATCCGAGGAGCCGGATCCTCATCTGAATCTTCCGAACCAGTACTACCGTCATCATCTGCTTCTGCGTCATTATCATCTGCCTCCCCATCATCATCTGCTCCAGCTTCATCATCATCGCTTTCACCCTGAATTTATTAGCGAATTGAGCGGATCCTGTTTCACAGCTACAGAAGGCTATAAGGCACTGCATTATATACCAAGTCATGTTTCTCCCGTCTGTCTAACTGAATTGTATAATTATCAAGCCGAAAATTATTACAGTGAAATGAAAAATCTAGTTAAATGGAAAAAAAAAATACAAAAGCAAGGCCCCTTTGATTCGATCCCTGTCCCAAACCACCACCATGCAGAGCATCATCATCACTATCCTCTCCGAAACTTTCTTCGTCGACCCCATTCTGAAAATCATTTTCTACTTGTAAACAAGTTTCTTCGTTACTCTCTAAGTTAAACCTAGCAAACAACATGTCAATGCAACAAAAAAGACTGTGTCAGTGCAGAACTGCATAAATTAATTGGTAGAATTTAACTATATGAAAATCCGAATGACCAAACAATTGTTGGAAAGTAGTAAATAATAATATAAAGAACAGTGATAAAATTATCAGAACTGCCCAAACAATCGTTCTGTGGATCTGATAGCACTTGTGATATCACTGGTATGCTCATAAAGCCGACAAGCAGCTGTGTCAGACCCGTCGGTCTTGAACTGCATATTCGCTAATATTGACCACTTGTCCGATTTCGCGCCACCTTGCCAGCGGTTGTCCAGGGGGGTTTACTTTCTCGCAAGTACCACTCATCGACACATGATCTCTACCACTTTTCAGTAAAACAGGCAAAATGTGCTACTGAGCAGTCGTAATGTTGTCCTGCACGCTCTTCATCTTAGTGTCTTTGATTGTTCAAGGGCTGAAGCATTCTTCATCCCTCAGTTGTCTCCGTAACAACCAAAGCTGCCTCCGTAACTATCAGTGTTTGCTGTTCTGCTTTCGACACTGACCTCGTTTCTCGTATGTGAAATAATCGATTTGTTGAAGGCCAGATACTGCTACACAAATTTTAATTTTAGTTGGTATATGTTCATGAAAGATTGAAAGGAAATAAAGAAGGGGAATGTGAATAAAATAAGATTAAAACCTGAATGGGAATGTTTCGGTCAAATGATTTGCGAGTGTATTTTAAGGCATGAGGTGGTACAGCTTATGCACTACTGCCATTCATTCTGTCAGATTGGAAAAAACTCCCAATCGATTAATTGAAAAATGTGAACTGAGATTAAATGTACAGTGGGAATCGTGTTAAACGTACAGTGCAATCGGCCGCTGAGTAGCACATTTTGCCTGTTTTACTGAAAACTGATAGAGATCGTGTGTCGGTGAGTGGTAGTTGTGAGAAAGTAAATCCTCCTTGGACAACTACTGGCGAAGCGGCGCAAAATCGGACAAGTGGTCAATATTAACGAATATGCAGTTCAAGACCAACGGATCTGATACAGCTACGTGTCGACTTATGTAAGCATACCAGTAGCATCACAAATGTTGTCGGATCCACAGAACAATTGTTTGGGAGATTCTGGTAATTTTATCACTGTTATTTGTTTCACTTTTTCTCAACAGTTATTTGGTGCTCTCCGG